ATTCGCTTCACAGTCGGGCAATATTGGGTTATTATAAAAATAAATGGGATAAATTCTGCCAATTTTGCGGGAAATTATGTAAATTTTGTGATGTTTGGGAAAATTTGTTTGATGTTCCGAAAAATTTTGGTATGTCCGAAAAATTTTTGGAGGGGAGGGGGAGGTCGCCAAAATTTATTGTTCCGGAAAAAAAATTTTTCGGGCACTCACTGGTCGGGCACAATTCGAAAAAATCGGGCAAATTTCTTTCTGCCCCCCTAATTTTTTCCTTCCCGTACGCTTATGATCGCGCGGTTTGTCGAAATAGAGCAAAAGCTATAGTGCACTCTTATGTCGGATCCAAATTGCTGATTTTATTGGTGATTATAAACAAGCATCAATCAATTGTGTTGAATGGATAGTGATTATTGTATGTGCAATAATCTTGCGCAATGTTCTTGGTATATAAAAACAGCAAATTTGTTGTGTTTTTTTAATTATTTAATTGCTTCACTTATCCATCAGGTACACTACGGTACATATAACGCATATACATGCACATGCGACAACTATACACAACTACGATGTTTGGGTATCCGCAACATTCTATACTAAACCTGCAGTTACTGCGGGACCAATTAAAGCAAATTACGCAATTAGACAAGTAATATTTCAAATCCGACTATGAGGACTGGACTATATAACAAACGTACTTGCAGGGAGGTGAGTCCGGGATTGGACGCACCGAGGGTGGCTGGAAGTTTCCCGAACTTACCGAGCGAACACCAAGCCATACACACATTTGTAGCTCTTCGCGATATCAGTATTCGTCGATGTTTTGTGAACATTTTCCCGGCCAAAAAAATCACTGGGCAAGAAAATAATTCTTTATCTACGTCTAGATTACCTTTATTGCATTTTTTTCTTTGGTTTTTCTTGAGTCTCAGTATCTTAGTTACCGAAAAAAGTTCTATAAAGTTTAGGTTTATCAGCTAAATCTTGTCCGCCATATTTGTTATTGTTATTGCAAGTTGCAACGTGAGCAGTTTCGCGGGTGAGTTCGGCGAAAAGCAGGTGAGCTCGACGACAAACTCACCTGCTCTAAACCAATCAGAAAGCCGCTTTTAACAGAGGTATGGGATAAGATTTCAAGTCCGCGCAATTTGATGCAAGGACTTGAAATCTAGTCCAGTCCGAATTGGAGGATTTGAAATGACATCTCATGCGAATGAATCACTACTTAATTATTTTGGATCCAGTCCAAGGACTGAACTAATTTTGATCCAGTCCAAGGACTGAATTAATTTTGATCCATTCCTAGGACTGGATCAATGTACTTCATCAGGTATCCAGTATTATCATGTGAGCGAAATAAAGCAATATGGTTGGCTAATTCAGTATCATGAATTATTAATGATTTGAGATTACTAATTAACTAACAAACTGTAACTAAAACAACAGTTTGTCAAGATGATTACTAAGTCCTCGTTCATATTGAATATCGGATCATATTGCATTTCTGATAAAATACATCTTTTTACAATAAAAAACACTCATTTGATTAGTGCACACAAAACGGCAGACCTATAGATTAACTGCATGGCGACGTCCAACATGACTGATGACTTGGTCACGAGATGCGACCAAAAGGGAACCATGCAGGACTCTCCATACAGATTTGCGGCCAAAATCGTGAACCTAATGAACATGGTACTAGAAAATACATGCATGCAGAAACCCTCGCCTTGCTGACAAAACCATTGTATTTTCCCAACATGAAGTATGTAAAGTAGTTGCCATGGTAACATGATAATTTTTTAAGAATATTCCGTTGGAATTTGGAATATTCTTACAAATGCAAAATCGCTTAAAAATATCACTTTTAATTACAAAATTATCAATTTCCCAACATATATATG